GCTCAAGTGAAATGTGAAATAACAGTGAGTTTTCATGTGATCATTTTTCAATTTTGTACTGTCATCCTGTAACTGAGATGTACTAGTTATCAGAAAGGTGCTTTCTATGCAGAGATCAAAGTATTCATTGCTCATCCAGACAGTATTAAGAGTTTAAATCATGATATAGAAGTATTTAAGCCAGCATTACAAGACTATGTTTTAATGTTACTCCTATTTTGTAGAATAATTTACTAACTAACTAAACAAGATGGCTTACAGAACCTAAAGGCTTATCACCAAATTAACCAAAGCCTTTCTGGGCCAACAAAATCCATTCTCCTTCAACTCGTATCTCCCATAGATCCCACCTGACATTATCCTCCCATCTACGTCTAGGTCTTTGCAGCAGTCTCTTCCCCTCACGCTTCCTGACCAATACCTGGTGCACACTTCTTGCAACCTCCATTCACACCACATGCCCCACCCTTCTCATGCTTCTCAACTTCATCACTGTGACAAAACTTGGCGTTTTACTTCAATTGGAAATTATTCAATGCTTCATTTACTTACATAAATAGCCATAATCAAGTTTGCAGTTTTATATTTTTTCATTGTTTCGTTGTAGTAAGTGTTCGTATTCATATGATTATATGTTCCACGACTTTGGCTTGTACTCTGAAGTATAAATATTAATTCATTGTTCATCGTCTCTGCATTTTGTTTTCATTCAGCTTTAGAAATGTACAACACTTAACATGTAACACAATGTTGTGGCTAGGGAGCAGTTTCTTATGTAACATGTTTGCCATTTAATCAGATGTCACTATTCTGAGTACGTCACATGTGTTCGTGTCAATGTGACATGATCCAGAGCAGTGTTCTGCAGCCACAAGATTTCAGATGTGCTGCAAATTTCTGAAAAAAATATTTTATATTTGCTTGTTATAATTGGAAAAAGACAATATCTTTTGAAACTGCACTTTACATGCGCACACACACTCACAGTGGTTCATCATCAGTTGTTTTATTCAACATGTATTACCTCTTGTCTTCAAATGCTTGCATTCTCATGGCACAACGATGTACATGTAGATAACCTGTGCCATGTTCTGTTTTGTGCCATCATGTGTCTGAGAAGTTGCTGCAGATGAAAAAATCTTTTTGTGTTTTTATTTTAGTAAATTACAAGGTGACTCATCAGCTTTTATGAGTAACAGTTTGGTTTTACTGCTGGGGGTGCTATCGGGCTTCGTATCCCAGCTATAAGATAACGTGCTCAAATAATCAGTTATCAAGTTGAAGATGTGCTGTCAAAAAACAGTCTCATATGCATTTTGAAACAAACAGGAAGTGATTTATATTCATACTTGGGTTAAAAGAGAAAATTTTGTGGATATGTTGCCCTCCAAATTGCAGTGAAACATGGAAGTAAAATATTTCGTACTCTTGAGTGACTTTTCACTATCAGAGTTTACATAATTACTGTTGAGTTGCTTTGATGGGGGGCATAATTTGCTATTTGAATTTGGAAACAAATGGTGAAGATATTCATTGTCATACTTTAATTGTTTAAATTCAGTAAAGACTCTGACACACATGAAGCAAGAGCAGTGTTTAGATACGACTTCTTATTACAGGAAGAGTCATGGGATGATGAAACTGTAAGGGAAGAGACGGAAGGTGAAATTACCGCCGAGGGATCAGAATTATGCCGGGAGAGGTAAATGTGGTTTTAGTGTATTGAATTATTACTCAACAGTTGTTCATTGCTCAGTCTGAAAAATACAAACACAATTAAACGTTTGTTAGGAATCAAGTTAAAAAACATAACTATACTAATATATCTTACATAAGTCAAGGCATCTCGATGTAAGAGATTGACTGCCAAACCTGTACTATAATATACTGTTTGCGTTATCAATTCTTCTGGCATTAGTAAGTGTAAAATATTGATATCACTGTGTTTTCTTGTTGTAAATACATGTTATTGATAACAATGGGCATTTTGATTAAACTTTCTGGTATTATTTTGTTTAAACTGCTGCCATCTATCAAATTCTCACCTTCCAGAATGTACATGCATTGGGTTAACCAGGAAAATTGTAGTAGTCTAAAGAGAATGGATGAAGATTTTGTCACGATAAATACGTCTATTTCACAGTGAAAAGCAAGTGGGGACTGAGCAGAAGGTGAATGTTGCCGCTCATTATTCTCATTCACAACTTGAAGTACAGTCCCAAAGGTATGGAAAGGATGGCCCTTTTAAATGTGAAGTTTGCGGTAAGAATTTTTCACTAAATTCATCTCTGAAGAGACATGCACGAACCCACACGGGAGAGCGACCTTTCAAGTGTGAAGTATGCGATTGGCAGTTCTTTGAAAGCGGTCATTTGAAGAGACATTATCGCATTCACACCGGGGAAAAGCCGTTTAAGTGTACAGTTTGCAATTTGAAGTTTGCCACGAACTGTAACCTCAGAGCGCATACACGTACACACACAGGTGACAAGCCGTACAAGTGCGGAATTTGTCTCAAGCAGTTTTCACAAGGTGGAGCTCTTCAGGTTCACACGCGGATCCACACTGGTGAGAGACCATATAAATGTGAAGAATGTGGTAAAGAGTTTTCAGAAAGTGGAAGTTTGAGGAAGCATTTGCGGGTCCATACGAAAGAAAAGCCATATAAATGTAACATTTGCCAGAAACAGTTTTCTTTGAGTGGCTGTCTGTCAAAACATTACCGTGTTCACGCTGCAGAAAAGGCCTATAAATATGATTTATATAACAGATAGTTACCAGAATTTGTATCTTAAGGTACGTGCATATGTTCAAGAAAAGATCCTTGAAAATCAGAATATTGCAAGTAGTAGTAATAGTACACACGAATTTTATGACTATTGTGAAACGTGCACATTTTAATAACAGTTGTTGTTGTTGTTGATAATAGTAATAATATTATATTATTTTATATTTGCATATATGTAATGTAATGAGGGTGCCCTTATATTCATATTGAAGTTTATTTATTAGCATCCAAATCATGACTCGGTTAATGTCATTACTGCACACCTGGTACCTCAATCTTCAGTCTGACCTGCGTTTCTTCCCTAACTTTTCCGGTGTTGAAACTGTCCTCTCTCCCTCCCATTGTGTTGACGCAGTTTGTGTGCCGCTGTGATCCTGGAGTGGTGCACTGCCTTTTGACTTCAGAGCAACCGCGAAGGGGAATAAGGTCGACCACTGGCTGGGTTTGTATGCATCGAAGGTGGGTGTTGGATATAAAATTGTATCTGGCTTCTGCATTTATAATTCGCTTTTGATTGAACAATTCGCCCATCTCCAGGAAGGTGATCTGGGTGATTTTTTTATCAATTTGCGTGGTTCTGTTTATTTTGTGGTTATAATCTTTTTAATTTGAATCTGTTCTTTACTCTTGACTGCTGACCAGGCATTGAAAGTACTGCTTTCTCTTTTCAACTATACCACAACAACTCTGCTGCGGTTATGACGCAAGGGTGCACTGATGCGTATCCTGACGTGGCCTCCCAGGTGATGAACAGGTCTCGACGCCGGTGTCTTCTGGTACAAAACTGCAGTGAATTAGAAGTCTGTTGCTGAGGCAACGGTTAATTAGAATGAAGCAAGCAACAACTTCCAAGTCATTATCCTTGGAACATGGCTGTGATCTTGATGTTATTATCATTATTGTTATTGTTTTTATTGTTCATTATCATCACTCCCTATATAAGATTATGCAAGGGACGTAGGATGTGCCACAGACCGGGGTCCTTTCCCGGGGGTAAAGCGTGGCGGAGGCGTGACGCTGACCACTCGCCCCCATCTAGTGCCGAGGTTAAGAATGAGTAGAGGCTATACCCCCTCTCCGACCCCCTAATGCCTACTTGGCATATAGTGGGAGAACTTTATTTTTCTTTACATCCTAATATTTGAGCCAGAAAGAGAATTCCATAAGGTCTTATAGAAGTGGAAATTAATTTATGGGCGGCTCGCAACATAAATTTGCAAGGGATGGTTGTGGCACGTACGTGTGGAAATTCCTATGATATGGGTGAAAAAATTGTTCATGTTATTAATGATATTAGAGTAAAATACATGCGGCTGACCCATTAAGATGTGAGCGTCGTTCTTTTCGAGTTGCTGTTGAACGATACAAAATGTTGTAAATTGCCAGGTATTGTTCAATATTGATCGAAGCATAATTTATGAGGTGCATTGAATGTGTTATTCAGATTGTGTATTGTTATCGCATAAACTTGTGATGCTGTTTCTTTGTTAAACTGTTGATATTGTTGTTAATGTTATCGTAATGTTGGTGTTTGTACTGCTCAGAATGTATCGTCTTCATTATGATGTGTCTGAAAATATTTCCTACCATTTCTTTTTTAAATAAAGCATTATTTTCCCACCAGTTTGTGATTGGATTATTTTTTAATCTTAATATTCTGTTTGTTTGTTCCAGTCATGTATTTCTTGTTTCCAGAATGTCGTTAAAGTTTGTAGAAATGGATTGATATGTACACACCCACACGTGTGCAAAATGTACAGTAGTAATATAATTTGGTGTATTAAGAGATGCTGAACAATGTTTTGATGTGGAAAAGATTTATAAAATTTTGGTTTACTTCTGTAGTGGTTGACAGTGGTGTTTGCTCCTGATGCGATATTCATTGCAACCGAATATAATTTGTCAAAACCTTAATATTATATTTCATAAAAATCCATCCGGTGATCCTCAAAATGAAACGTGGACAGACACGATTGTTACTTTCTTCTTGGATAATGCATTGTGTAGTTTGGTAGAAGTTTACTGACATTCCAGATGTGCTTGCTGCCTCCATCATCGGAGTCTTTTTGATGGAGTCAGCGGTCATGTCTGAAATGTTAACTTCTACCAGACTTCATGCTTGTACAACGTCTGTAGACAGAAATGGACCATTGCCGCTTTATTTGTAAAATGATGTTTTTTATTTATCAGTCCATTGAAGTAATATTTTCTACCTTTTGAGCTGTTGACCGATGGTATCTGCTTTCCCCATTTTTAATGAAGGTGCATCGGTGCCTCTAACTTAATTTTAATCAGGGAGTGACATTTCCCAACCTGGGATCCCATGGTTTGACCTCATTGTCCGATTTGCCCCCCCAATTTGATTTTAAATTCATGACTCCAGTTCTTTTCCGGATTCCTAAAAGGAAAACCTCCTGGGAAATTTCCTTCGTTTACTCGTTTATTTAAAGTCATGTGACAGTCACTGAAATTGATTGTGTTGGATAGGGGATGGAGTAAATACAAAAGTCGAATTTCAAATTTTAATCTGTTTATTATTGCATGAAACAAAAGGGTTGTTCCCCTGGGACACTTCATTTGCTACTAGGAGAGCCAATGACCGTCAATTATTCATGTGTTCCACCGCTCTATAGGACATGCTACCAATTGTTACTAACAGATGGCAGAATCTGCATAAACTCTACTGCCACCTTTACAGTAAATTAAGGCAACCCCGGAAATTTTGCTTTGTGTTGTATGTATAATGACAATGGTACAATTTCGATTTATGTTTTCTCGTTTTGTTTGCCGTTATCATTGGTAATTAACCGGGTTCCTGGCGTGAAACGGTACACAAGGACCCATTTGTGAGTTTTGATGGCGATGTCTTGATGGTTTTCTGGATTATGGCGCCGTCTGGACTCGTAGGCAGGTACTAACATTTCGGAACACTGGCATCAACCTACGAATCCACATGGCATTACGTCTCAGAAGAATATTTTCAACAATCGGGTGGACAGCATTCATGTTAACCACGTTCACGAAAAACAAAGTGTTGTTACGCTCCCGACGAGCGTTGCCTGAACTAGTTGGCTAACAGTGCATTTAATATGATCGGTTCTGCTATGTTACAGTGTATGGAGTACTGAACAATGAAAGTGAGACGACATTTTTCGTTTTTTTTAAGTGTTAGCCTGGCTAACACAGTTAACATGAACGTTGCTCTTGCCAAGCATACAAATCACAAATCTCGCGTGAGATAAGTCTGTCCTCCCTTCGCCTCTACCAACGTTTTTCTCGTGGTACCCAGTGTCTGTATTGACGATAATTTTATAATTCTTGCTCACGTGATCATTGGCAGTTGGTTGGGGCGTATTTCTTGGACGAATCGATTGTTAAATTATGGGTGACAGCTGAATATGATTTTTTACATGAAAACAATCGAAAGGTAATACTTTTTTTCCTATACTCTCGGCAACTACTAAAGCTAGCTGCATGTTTACTGTTGTGATAGTAGCACGTTTAGCCCCTCCCCCGCGTTACCGGCGAGCCAATGAGCGAACAGTACGGAGCGTTATCTCACGTCGACTGTTCGGCTCACGTAAGACGAACGCGCTATCAACAACGAGATTACAGACGTATTGATCTGACGAACGTACAGTCCACGCGGAAACATCACGTGGTGAATTGTGCGGTCCACCAGGTCCTAATTTCTGTTCTCGTTTTTAATTTCCTCTGTTCCTTCCTCTGCCCTGTTATTCATTTTGCTTCTCACTTATTTTTAATGATTTAGGTAGTTCGAGTATTTACGTAATGTTTTCTTGTCCGGTCACTTTTTGACTTTGCGATTTCCACTAATTTCTCTTTCTTCTGTTTCAGGTGTATAAAATTATATAAACTTAAATATAATTTCTTAAATGCAACTTTTAGTCAGATGTTTATCAGATTTCAAATTATGTTTTTCTTCCAGATTTTATTGTATTTTAATATCGTATTCGAAGTTGTTCTGTATGTACGTCGTGCTTAACATGATTTTGTGTGGGTGAACGTTTTGATCATCCAAAAATTAAGTTGTGGAGGAGTTACGTCCGTCTGGAAGTATTGCCGTGTTTTCTTCTGTGTGTTTAATTTCTACCCCCATTTCCAAAGGCAGCCTTGAACAGCTTAGACCTGTGAAACACCTTTGTCACTTTAATTAAAATAAAATAAAACAATGTTTATCCTGAAAATAAAAGACTTTATGTCTCAGGCTTTGTTTCAGACACACCTGAGGAGGTATAAGTTCCAAGATTTTAATATCTGGTAAAAATCTGATAAAAATGTACGCTGGCATAATGTATGAAAATTGTATTTGAAATTATTTATCGTTTTGAAGCTTTATATAATTATATACACCTGAGGATGGTTCTTTTAGGAACTGAAACATGTCGTGAAACATGAAAAATGATGGTCTAATGTAAAATCGAATATTTCGATAAAGAACATCATTTAATATTTTAAATAGTTTAAATGTTAATTATTGTAATATTGTAATATTTAATAAGAATTTATTGTGATTAGACGGACAAGATTTAATATATACTTTCAAGATTTTGTAAAATTGGCGTAAAATTGGCGTAATAGTTTTTCATGAAGACGGATTCCTAGCCCCACGTCTAATCACAGTTTGAACTTAAAAAAAAAAATCACCACATGGTTAGCGACCCCTGGCGTAACCCATTAGCACATTCACAGGTACAGACCTTCCTTATCGGCTTCAACCTGAGAATGCTTTGTGTTTTGATGATGAGGGACTATTTTAAAGCAAGAAACGAATTTGTTCCATCAGAATGATAAGCTTCTGAATTTGAGTGGGTTCTGTAGAAGTTTCGTAATGCTTCGGAAGCCTTAAGATTCACCAAATTTACAACATTCTGACGTAATTAATCACACAGCAAAAGTGCACTGTCTGTCTGTCTGTCAGCGCCAACGAAATTCAACGGCACAATAAGATGATTCTCTGTGAGCTAAATCTGAAATATTTACGTTGTCCCGAGCTAAGAGCCGACCCTTATAAATTTTACTGCTGCAATTTGAACTTACCCTCAGAGACCCTACAATAAAAACATTAAGCTACCGGGCAGTCAGAGAGATACAATGGCCGACAGAGACAAGATAATTTCAGTGAGCACATAAACGAAATTCAAATTGAAATTACTCGTGACTGAGGGAAAATCAGTAGACCTTCTTACTGCGTGTATTGGTGGGCTAGTTGCCATGGTAACGTATTTTCCACATCTCACATGTAACATAAACTTTTACCTAATTCCTCTGCGAACTATTCTAAAAATTTTTAGTAAGTGACGAACTGCTATTATTTAAGAAAATAAAGTGTAGTTAATATTAAGAATGTTTTATACTAATAGATTTCTGTTGTGTGTTTTTGTTATGCATAAATAATTATAATCGTGGTCTTTGTAACGCCGTTAAATTACACTCGTCATTGCTGGAAATGTGTCGCACTCTTCAATTACGACAAACATAATTCTCCTTACATGTTTTGTTCGCGTGTCGTCATTTTAATGTCATTAACTACTGATTGTCCACGTTACGTACACTGTGTATAAACCCGAATTTAATGTCATTAACTACTGATTGTCCAGGTTACGTACACTGTGTATAAACCCTACCACAGGAAAGAGCCAACTTTCAAGACCTTGGTATAGATGGAGGGATATATATCAAAATATAGCTGTATTTAAATACAAGATATTAGCAAATGGTGCTTTCGAACAGGATGCAACGAAAGACTGATGTGACAAAACGGAATGAACCTACGCGTTCCACCAGCTCAGTAACTGTCAGCGTTTTAAAAATTATCCTGCAGTTAGTTTAATAAATATTGGTCTCCTTCTGTACCCATTGGTTTGGTAACAAGACAAATTCCGTCGATGTTCGTCTTCTGGTTTGTAAAGCCGTGTGGACTTGCAGATAGATATCAGTGTTTCGAAGAAACATACTGCCTCCATCTTCAGGGCTAAACACAAACTCAGATCTACTACCCGTCTCCGCCCTTATATGAACTGATATCCCTTAATAGAAGTCAGACCTTCGTGTCCTACTTAGCACCCTTCCCACGGGTCGAGAGTGGAGGAGCCCAATAAAGTATTTGTATGGAAGTTTACAGTAAAAAGTGCGTTACGAGGGGTAGTGATTAGGAGTTGCCGCCATTGAACCCCTGTCACCGGCTGGGGGATGATTTACAAGGCAGAGCAATACAGACGTCAGCAGACCAGATTTCCTGCAACCCAGGGAATGGTCGTCGTGTTTTGATGGTTTTAGCAGCTTTCACCAATAATAAATCGCTTATAAATTGAAAACTTGCATTATGGCCTCACTGTTTTCTGACATTGAGAGATGAAAAACTAACAATCGTCCCTGTGCCTAGGTAGGATATGACACTGAAGGCGCATGGCCGAGCGAACGGAAGAAACGCTCCACGAATTCCAATTCTCCTCACTGTTCGGCCGCCTTATCCTCTGGAAGGGGCTCTCTGACTGACAACCCCCCACCCCCACCCCCCGCGCGAGAGATAAATGCTATAGTGACCATTCCCCATCAGAAATAAAAAAAATCATTCCTCCATGAAGATGGCTATCTTTTGG